TCAATATCCACACCAGATTTCCAAATAGTACACAACATTTGTTGCAATGCCTGAGGAAATAAGCTTATTGTTGGAGTTTTCTTGTAGCAACATGGCTTGCGAAGGATTAAGCCAAAGAAACTAAAGAGTTTTGATTAACAAAAAGGTTGAGAATATAACTCAAGAATTCCAGCAAGAACTCTATTTTCAGATGAGAAATCTATATATAGATAGTTCTCGACTTACAACAGTTCATTTAGTTGACAATAGCACTGAAAAAAGTGACTTATGACCATTTTTCACACTTACGACCTTTGTAGCGCCCCCTGATTATGGAGTCAAAATTCAGATGCTTGGCAACTGGTACATACTTACGACCATTGCTGTGTTCCAAAGTCATGTGATTTACCTTTTGCAACCTTTTGACAAACAAAATCAATGGGGAAGCCAGACCCACTTAATAACCGTGTTACTAACTTAACAAGCTCAGTGATTCACTTAACAAATAAGGCAAATAAGGTCGTAAAATGGGACAAAACTCATTTAACAAATGTCTCACTCAACAACAGAAATTCTGGGCTCAATTGTGGTCGTAAATCGAGGACTACTTGTATAGGCAATTTAAAGTGGCAAGATTCTGGGTTTTTTCTGCATTTTTTGATGTATAAGGATTGGTCTTTAGGAAAGATGGTGAAAGGCATCAAGTATCTGTTCTATATTTACTAGATATTTTAACAATTTGCATATTATGCTTATGATCCAATGTCGACTTCTAAGTATAAATCAGGAGTTTGTAAATGGAAACTCTCAGTGATTCATTTAAGATCCTTAAATGAATTGAATTGCATTAATGTATTGATTTGGCTAAATTTACAGAGATTTGGGCTCAATTGCTCATTAGTTATAGCACTTATTGGGTGATCCTGGCCAGACAGCATATCTCAGTGTATTTCCATGCTCTGTAAATGTATTTGTTTATTTTCTGTTTAATATCTTGTAAACATGTGTGAGCAAGATACCAACATTCCCCAGCTCTATTTTCAGCAGCTCCTATGGAAACATGATTATTATTTAAAAGTCTTCTCCTCAATTTTTTTAGCTTTGCTAAAAGTGGATTCTTAGCATGGCTTATGAGGCAAATTAAATTAGTGTAAACAATTTTTAAAAATTACTGTAAAGAAGTAATTAGCTGATAGAGCAAATCCAATTTTCACCTGTTGCTCCAGAGATGTCAAACAGCATCAGGTGGATTTGAGGATAGAATTCCAGACCTGGCTATTGCCTTCCAAACAACCCTAAACATATCCTAAATTCATGCATCGTACTAAATTATAATGTGAATTTTGTGGTTCTGGCTTGAGGTAGATACTTAACATGTAGTGGGGCTTATAAACAATGGGGTCTATAAACCAATTGCAGTTGTCCAATAAACTATATGTAGTAACTCCCTTCCCCCCCTTTTTTTTCTTGGGGGGGTGGCAGATGGACTTTTGCCTGCTTGATTGGAAAATGGGATGATTTGGAGGGATTTGATAGTTCGTTTCCTTTCAAGTTCCATTCTCTTTGTCAACTAACAGGGCCCTGTAGACACATCTGCCTAGGCTTTGAAGGCCAAGTTGGAGGATGGTTTTTGTTCTCTGACCACGCTCCCAGGAAAGGAAAATTAGAGGGAGAAGGGGAAAAAAATTATTCCATTACATTGCAGGTTCTTTTCATGACAATAATGTTGAATAGCTTAATTAATAGTGACCCACTGAAAATTTCAAAGCTACTTTGAGTCAGAAACCCTACCTACATCATCCAACAGGTCTGCCAGCTCATATCATGGCCTCCAGGGTGGTGGATATTTTGTCCCACTTTTGGAGAAGGTCTCCACCCAAAAACAACTCCTTGTGCTGCTTCCTCTTCACTCAGGTGCTTCTCTCCCATAGAAGTAAATGTGCAGTTCCATAGGATAGATGGTAATTCCTCATCTCTTCTAGTCCTGGCCTTTTAGAGCAGTCAGCTTAATCCAATCAGATGTTTTGAGTCACAATTCCTTCGTATCACCTGCCCAAATTGGGCATGATGTGAGTTGGAACTCAAGATGTCTTAAGGATGCTCAGGAACAGAAAACCAGTTTAAGGTTGGAAGATCAAAACCAGTTCCTGGGGCACTGTATGACTTGAAGATCCTATAGATTTTGGGTCTGTGCTTAAACATCTAAAAGGTTTAAGCCCCAGATGGTGGCCTCAGAAAGCGTTCTTTTTCTCCAGAAATGCATAGTAAATACAACACAGGAAGTGACATCAACACGCTTCACCACATAACCCACTAACAGCCTGGAAGGAGGAGCTGGGGAATGGCAATACCAATAGACACGTGATTTTGCAAACCTATGATTTAGAAAGAAGAAGGAAGCGTTGGTTTGAAGTTTGCACAGCGATCTGTCAATTTCTGGTTGTACTGTGGTTTACATTAACAACAAATATAGTTTTTGTATCATGAAAGGAATGGCTGTGCTCTTTGATCCCCACTTTAAACGGAGGGCTTTCTTCAGTTATTAGCACTTTAGCAGTTCATCAGACTCCGCAAAGTGGGAGGAGATGCAGAGATGGCGAGAAACTTGGAGACAAGCTCTGCAAGGAAGAATTGGAGGGTAGAGTTAAGCATCAATTTGACAGGTGGTTTCAGCCATATGTTGGTTACTCATAATTCATTTTATTTGGTTTTACTTCAGGATAAGCCTGGTTTCAGGATAGAGTGTTTTGATTTAAGATGTAGAACACTTTATTGATTATCCAATGTATCTCATTGTAAAGCAAAATATTTTACAGCAGTGTTTCTCAACCTTGGGAACTTTAAAATATGTGGACGTCAACTGCCAGAATTCTCCAAGCAGCATTGGGTTCTGGGAGTTGAAGTCCACATATTTTAAAAGTTCCCAAGGTCGAGAAACACTGTTTTACATGATAGTAGACTAATAGAATAACAGAATGACAGTTGGAAGGGACCTTGGAGGTCTTCTAGTCCAACCCCATGCTTAAGCAGGAATCCCTAGGAGGCTTCAGACAAATGGTTGTCCAATCTCTTCTTAAAAATCTCCAGTGTTGGAGCACCCACAACTTCTGGAAGCAAGACTCGCCACAAGAATCTCAAAGCAGTCTCCGCAATTGTTTTTATTGGGTATAACAACGGATTGTACAGTATCAGAGACTAAATTGATTTTGAACCTAATAACAGCAGCAAGACTGTTGATAGCGCAACATTAGAAGAAAGACTTCTTGCCTACTATTGAGGAGTGGATATTGAAAGTTGCTAATTTAGCTGAAATGAAAAAAATTCAGCATATCTGAAGGATTATACTCAAGAAAGATATATGTTGGAATGGAGCAGATGGATTGATTATATTCAAAATAAGTATCAGACTAGAAAATATCAAATAGCTTATGAGTGAATGTTAAATCTTAAAATTATGTTACTTATGGTGGAGTTAAGGTGTCAAGGGGGGGGGGTTGTTAGTTTAATTGTTAATTGAAATACCTTGTATTTTGCTCTGGGAAGTCGGGGGGGGGAGGGGGGACAGGGGTGGGTGGGTGGGGAAAGGGGTTGGGGAAAATTGTTGTTTTTCTTTAAAAAACTTTTCAATAAAAAAAAAGAATCTCAAAGCAGGAATTGCAGAAGTTGGATTTTAAAGGAGTAGATCTCCTGCAGGACGAGATCACCTTTCAACTCTTAGGATTCTGTTCAAGGCAAATTGTGAGCTTATCCACAGTACCATTGGAATCAAAATGATACTATTGAAGTATTGTATTCCTCTTGCTGGTTCTCTTCCATTTATAGTTTATTGGAGGACACCTATATATCTTCTCTTACGCTATGCAGAAGTCAGTAAGCAAATCAGCTACTATTGGGTATAATTGTTGGCGCAGTGGTTAGAGTGCAGTGCTGCAGGCTACTTCTGCTGACTGCCGGCTGCCTCCAATTTGGCAGTTCAAATCTCACCAGGTTCAGGTTCAAGGTTGACTCAGCTTTCCATCCTTCCAAGGTTGGTAATATGAGGACCCAGATTGTTGGGGGCAATAGGATGATGATGTAAACCGCTTAGAGAGGGCTGTAAAGCACTGTGAAGCGGTATATAAGTCTAAGTGCTATTGCTACACTGGGAAGTACCAGCATTAGAAACCATCCTTGGATTGCAAAACTCACTGCGTTTTGAGCCATCCTCTTTCCTTCAACCTTGCCTTCCTCACAGGGTTCTTACAAGGACAAAAGGGTGGGTGGGTGGTATCCATATTTTTTGTGCCACTGAGTTCTTTAGAGGATGGTTTGAGATAACTGTGACGTTAATAATTTTAGTAGTTAGCTTTCCCTGGAGGTATATTCTGCTAATTAAATATACTTTCTTGTCTGTCAGAAACACTTGAATTGGACGCTGCGCCACACAGCATAAACTTTTTTTTTTTTGCTGTAACGCATTTACTCTTTAAGGTGTTTAAAATAACTTTTCCCTGTTTGCAGCAGTTTATGACCAGAGATATCTAGAATAATTAACGCCTTTTCCTTAATCTTCCCTGAAGCAGATTTTGAACATTTTTTAAAAAATCCCAAACAAAGACATAGTCTAATTGCTTTTGATGCAGGATGGCAACATTGGAATTGGATTTTTGCATTTTTGGAGGCTGTTTGGAAGAGAAAAAAAGAGAGAGAGTGGATGTGTCAGATAAATGTATTTCTTCCTGTGCAGCCACTCAAGACTTTCTGGAACATATTTGAGGAGTGGAGAGGGGGAAGGGAAGAAAGGGAAATTCTGTTGCATAAGCGGAAGTCTACTCATACCCACATCTGATAACAATCCTTGGGATTAGCTTCTTGAGCCCCCATGAAATTTCTCTGACAGCTATTTCTCCTCTTGGTTGGTGTGTGGAAATGGAGCACAACAGTTGAGCAAAGACAAGTGACCTCCGGAAAACATTTCTGACCCACCCGGCATGTGATAAATTAAATTTGTGCAAACTTTGCTTGTTTTTTTAACCGTGCAGGCTCGGAGCACAGACAGCATTGATGCAACAGGCGAGGGACAAGTCCGTAATTTGGGCAACGCCACCAGTAACCTCAAGGGAAAACCAATCAAGAGGTAACTCGGAGGCAGAGGAAGTGCTGGGGAGCATGGGCTTGTGATGTGCGAGCAAATTGAGTTTTGTCAGCTCCTCCCAGCTGGAGGGCTTTTAACATCTCCCTCCAAAGATAATCTGCAGTTATTTCCTCTTTCTGTTCTTAATGGATTTGCCACAGTAGGAAGAAAAATAGAAGTGGTAGCAAAATATAGAAGAGTTGTAAAATTTAGTTTAGTTCAGTTTACTTTATTGTCATTACACCTCGTACAACGAAGGTGCAGTAAGTTCAAATGCTCTCTATGGTGCAGCGGTAAAAGGTCACCAACAGTTTTTCATTCAGCTGTTGTTTCCTGAGAAGTCTCAGATAGTATAATCTCTAGTATAATAAATGAAGGGTGCAATCTTGCTGATATTTAGTACAAGACATGAGTGTGTCTTTGTGACCACGTCATAAAGTCTGAAAATATCTTGATGATGAAGAAGGCTTCTCCAGGCATCCAGCATCCCCAAACTTGGGGCCTTCCAAATGTCTTGGGACTTTCTTCAGAATTCCTGGCCAGCATGCTAGGACTTCTGGGTCTTGCAGCCTCATCTGGAGGTTCCAGGTGGTAGAAGACCAAGGGTGAAATCCAGCAGGTTCTAATAGGTTCTGGTGAACCAGTAGCGGAAATTTTGAGCAGTTCAGAGAACCGGCAAATTCCACCTCTGGCTGGCCCCAGAATGGAGTGGGAATGGAGATTTTGCAATATCCTTCCCCCAGGAGGGGAAGGAATGGAAATTTTGCAATATCCTTCCCCTGCCACGCCCACCAAGCCACGCCCACAGAACCAGTAGGGAAAAATTTTGATTTCACCCCTGCCGAAGACTGGTCCAATCAAGCAGTGGAATTAAAATGGAGATAAATACAAAGCAATTAAGGAGAGAGAGAGGCTCAAGAGTTCACAGTAAGGCTGGGCTTAGAGTGATTGCTTTTAATATTTTCTCTAAGATAGAGACGGAGAGGTTATGCTTCCCAGAAGCCCTAACCAGCATGACCAATGATGAAGGGATGCTGATAGTTGCACAATTTCACAGTTTCTTCACCTTGGCCATGGATCATAACGCTTTGGCTTCCTGATGAGATCGAAAATTTGGAATTTTCAATTTCCTCAATTCATTTCCCGCTCCTTTTCCTTGCTCTGCAGGCTTTCCATTACACGAGGCCATTTTCCCAAGCTGACCGAATGTGCCCATTTCCACTATGAGGCCGTGGACTTTGGACACATCCAGGTGTGTGAATGCATTCCCCAACCCTTTCCTTTTCCAAGGACACGGATATTCCTTGGAGCTTGGATGTCTTTGGCAAAAAGGGCATTTAGCAGCATGTAGGTGTAATGATGTTAAAATTGAAATATATCCTATAACTGTTTTTTTTTTTGTTTGCTCTTTCCAGCTTCAGTTTGCTCCTGATCAAAATGAAAACCTCAACAATTTGGAAGAGGGCAGCCTTTTATTCCCTGTTCAGGTTACCTGTCAGGTGAGAGACAAAAACGGTAGGCAAAACCTGTTGAGTTAGTTTCTTAGAGTTACACTCTTCTCATCTAATGCAGGGTTTTCGACTGATTAGTTGCTACTAATCCAAGAAGGAAAGATTACACATATAATTAACTACTGTGCAAATTACCGAAACTCTGCTATAGATATAAGGCCTGGTCCAGTGTAAGGCTATTTATTTATTTGTGAGATTACTATGCCACTGTTTCTGTAGAAGATCAAAGCTGTGTACGAAGGGCTCCTCCCTCTTATTTTCTCCAGCCACTTGTTCACCATAATATAACTATGAGATACGTTGGGCTGAGAGAGAGAATCGCTAACTCAAAAGGCAACTGGACTTTGTTTTTCCTTGAAGACGTTTTGTTTCGCATCTGTTGTGGTCCGCCAGCAGCCTGTGGAGCTGGTGGCAGAGTCGGACAGTGAGGAGGCTGGGGAGGAACATGGGCCAGTCCTGGAGGCTGGGGAAGGCCCAGACAAGGGCTCTACGTCGTAGGCAGAGAAAGGGCCATCTAGGAGGTACATGCTACCTCCGGAGCCTCCAGAGTCGGACCTCAGCAAGGCAGAGGAACAGGGGGAGTCTGTTCCCAGTGCACGCATGTGCAGAATTGCCAGAAGGCAAGAACAGTTAAAACAAAAGGGACGACTCGGGAATAGGGCTTGGAGATGATTGGCCCCTCCCATAAGACTTAAAGGAGGAGCAAAGGCACGTGAGCCTTTGCAGGAAGCAACGTTGTTAATTCTGTGCAGTTTAAAGTCTGAAGCTCTGTTTGATTCCGGACTCAGTGTGGCTTTGCCAATTAGGTCTTTGGCAGCGTGTCAAGGGAGATAAAGGTGGATGATTATCAGCCTTATCCTGAAGGATTCTTTACAATTATTTGGGACTCATCTGTGAATGAACTGTTAAAATAAAACAGGTTTTTGGAACTACTGGTGTGTTTTATTGAGTCAGGAAGCCTAGGTCAGAACAGCATCCAAGAAGCTTCCTCAGTTCTGTCAGTCAGAACTGAAGAAGCTTCTTGGATGAGAAGCGGAACGTCTTCAAGGAAAAACAAAGTCCAGCTGCCTTTTGAAAAAGCACCTTTGGGACAACCATGACCTGAATGACTGAGAATCTTCATAGACATTTGACTAACTCGAAGTTTCCATGGCTGAAGCTGGACTCAAACCTTGTGTCTCGTGATCTGAAATCATCTACCACACCTTGGTCTCATAAGAACTAAATGCATTTATACATGTTGGATTTGACATACAAATTGGCATAGTGTTGATAGGCTTCAGTCTCACTGATAGAAAAGCCACTTACAACGTTTCCTTATTTTGGTCCAGGGCAAAAGCTGGCAGGTACATCGCAGCTATGAGGAATTCCGCACCTTGGATGCTCACCTACATTGCTGTATCTTTGACCGGCGTTTCTCTCAGCTTCCTGAATTGCCACCCCTCAGCCACGTGCAAGCTCATCCTGAGGTGACTGTCTGGGAACCATTTTGCAATTTGTGTGTGTGTAAGGGAACACTTTCTGTGGCCAGTTCATACTTCCCAATCATTGGGTTGACCCAGAGGTGGGATTCATTTACCTTCGCTACCGGTTCGCAAATGTGAGCGCGCCCACGTTCCGCGCATGCTCACAGCCTCCAAAACGTGGCTAAAAAAGACAGCATTACCTCCGGACAGGTCGGCGGGGCCTACTGCAGTCGGCGCTAGCGGTTCACCCGAACCAGACAGAACCGGCTGAATCCCACCACTGGGGTTGACCTTTAAGTTCAGCAAAGATGAAGGTTGCTCAACCTCTTCAGGTTTGTTGCTTGGGAGCAACCGTAATATGTCATCTTGTATGATGAATAATGGAAGAATAATCAGAGTGGTCTCCTATTACACTAAGAGCATCAACTTTTCTGTCAAAAGTTTGGAGGAAAAACCTCACCTGGAATACAGGAATGGGTTGTAGCTTAGAAGTTGCATAAATTGCAGCCAGAAGATGTTTGATATTGTCATTCGAGAGGTTCAAATGGAAGGTCATTTGAAAGCCATCTACAAGATTATAGAACAGTGATGGCTAACCTTTTTGCCATCACGTGCCAGGAGGGTGTGTGTGTGTGTGTGTGTGCCCACACCCATAATTCTATGTGCCCCGTCCCCACGCATATGTACACAACCCTCCCCGCTTCCCCTGCTCCTGGCACGCGATGGCACAGTAGGCCCATTTTTTACTCTCCCCAGCCTCCAGAGCCTTTCTAGGAGTCTGGGGAGGGCAAATATGGCCTTCCCCACTCACCTGGAGGTCCCCTGGAGGCAAAAATGGCCCATTTGCCAACTTCTGGTTCCAGAAGTTGGCAAATGGGCTGTTTCTGGGGCCTCCGGAGGGGGTGGTGAAGGCCGTTTTCACCCTCCCCAAACTCCTAGAAAGGCTCTGGAGGCTGGGGAGAGAGAAAAACAGGCCGCCCCCCGCCCCAAGGTTCTCCGGAGGCAGGAAACATCCTGTTTCCCTATTTCTGGTGAGGCACCCGTGCCATAGGTTCGCCATCACGGGTTCTAGAACATTGTTTCTCACCTTCAGGAATATTAAGATATATGGATTTCAATTCCCAGAACCTCTTGCACTGCATGCTGTCTGAGGAATTCTGGGAATTGAAGTCCTCACTTCTTAAAGTTGCTGACCTTGAGAAATACAGCTCTAGAAAATAATTGCTATTCAGAGTAGACATTCCTGGATAAGATGAACTGCTGTGAAGAAGTTTTCCAAATGGGGAGGTTTCCCAACCTCTCTCTCAATCTGTTGTTGGTTCTTCTTGAGATTTGAATTTGGAAAAGACTATAGCTATTTATGAGGGACGCGGTGGCTCAGTGGCTATGACGCTGAGCTTGTCGATTGAAAGGTCGGCAGTTCAGCGGTTCGAATCCCTAGTGCCGCGTAACGGGATGAGCTCCCGTTCCTTGTCCCAGCTTCTGCCAACCTAGCAGTTTGAAACCACGTAAAAATTGCAAGTAGAAAAATAGGGAACACCTTTGGTGGGAAGGTAACAGTGTTCTGTGCGCCTTTGGCGTTGAGTCATACTGGCCACATGACCATGGAGACGTCTGTGGACAGCGCTGGCTCTTCGGCTTAGAAATGGAGATGAGCACCGCCCCCTAGAGCCGGGAACGACTAGCACATATGTGCGAGGGAAACCTTTATCTTTACCTTATAGCTATTTATATTGTTTATTTCTCTCTTTTACAGCTCCTGGTGCCCATGCTTTCACAGTATCTTGAGAAGCTTTCTGCTATTGTGGATAGCAATATCAATTGCAGCCCAGTTCTCACCTGGATGGAGGTGAGACTCCAGTGAATGTTTTGTTGGCTGGAAGCCGGCAAATTAAAGATAGGAGGTAGGGAGGGGGGAAGGGAGAGCAATAGAAAACATGGAAACTTACTTATTTATTTTATTAAATTTATTATAGCTACCCAATTCTATAGCAACTGTGGTAGCAACATAAAACTACTACTTCAGTACAATATAATACAATACAATGGCTACTTCAGCTTCAGCCGGAATAATACACGAGCACAGAATAGATACAAACTCAAGGTAAACTGCTAACTCGATTGCAGAAAATACAACTTATTTATTAATTAATTAATTAATTAATTAATTAATTTTACATTGCTGCCTATTCGCCCATGGCGACTCAAGGCATCTTACAGAATATAAAAAATACATTTAAAAAACAGTAAAAATAATAAACAATCAAATAAATTAGTGTAATAAAATCATCCCCCGACCTCCTGCCCCAGCGACAGCTGATCACAAGAGCCATTTAATGGGCTCCAATCTTGCTCTTGGTTCCCCAACGAGGCCTACTCGACAGCAAAGCCTTTACTTATACTGTCTGCGAATGATGTAAGAAGTTTTTCAATGCATCTGTTGAACACCAGATTGTAGAAGATGCCTTTGTGTATGAAAAGCATTGTGGAAAAACTTGAGGAGGACATTATTGCCACCCTGTAGATGTTTTTAGGGGTAGCATCAGTGATGGGATTCAAATAATTTAACAACCGGTTCTCTGCCCAAATGACCAGCGGGATGGGCGTGGCCATGGTGGGTGTGGCCAGGGGGCGTGTCAGGCAGCACTTGGCCCCTTGCACCCCCCTGGGTGCAAAAACGGGCCGCGGGAGGGACGCGTCCCCCTGCGCCCTGTTTTGGGCCTAGTAGACCTCTCTGCAATCTCCTGGGAGAGAAAACGGGCTGCGGAGGGGGGCGTCGCACTCCCATGCATCCCGTTTTGGGCCTAGGAGGCCTCCCTGCACTTACCTGGGAGCCAAAAGGGGGTGCATGGGGACTCCTGGAAGGGGCGGGACGGGGAGGGACAGGGCCACCCAGCAATTTAACTATCGGTTCGCCCAAACCGGCCCGAACGGGCTGAATCCCACCATCGGGTAGCATAGTTGAGCTGAACTCCTATCTTGAAAAGCAAAGTTGTCCTGCCAGAAAATAGATGACAATCCTACACTTATTCTACAATCCAATTTTAGAGGCCTGAAATCCAAAGGACATTTTAAAGCTGAATCCCATTAAGTTGCTTATCCCAAAGGGCCCACTGGACTTTCTGGTTTTTCTTTGAAGACGTTTTGCTTCTCATCCAAGAAGCTTCTTCAGCTCTGATTGAATGATAGTGAGGAATGGAAGGATTTATACTCCTTGCAGACGGCTGGTCATTTGCATCCTTTTAGAGAGACGTTAAAGCCACCTGGAAGTTTATCTATGTCGTCAAGGTCACCTGAGTTGGGCGTGGAGAATCTCCACAGACATTAAGTGGCCTACTTCCGATTGTTTCATTTCAGATTGATAATCACGGCAACCGACTCTTGGTAAATGAAGAAGCTTCTATCAATGTCCCTGCCATTGCAGCTGCTCACGTGGTTAAACGTTACACGGCACAGGCCTGTGATGAGCTGTCTTTCGAGGTGAGCCTTGCCAGCAACAACATGTTACTTTTATCAACTGACCTTTGTAGGTTCATGTCTCTCTAAGCTTCAGGGATGGGCTTCAGATCCTTTAGCAACGGGTTCGCTGCCCTGTTGCTGGATGGGCATGGCCATGGTGGGAGTGGCCTAGTCATCCGCCTGCACCATGGTAGGGGATTGTGGGGATTTCGCCCTCCCCAGGCTCTGGGGGCTTTTTTCGAGCCTCCGGGAGGGCAAAAACAGCTACCCTTGGGGTCCAGAGACCCTCCAGAGGTCAGAAACAAGTCCATTTCCAGAATTCCAGAACCTCCGGTAGGCCTATTTTTTCCCCTCCCAGACCCTCTGCGCTGCCCCTGCACTTACCTGGAATGATGAATGGGCCACGTGGCGATTCCGGGGAGGGGAGGGGTGGGCGTGGCCAGCCAGGGGTGGCATTTGGGGGTTCGCTGAGCCCCGGCAATCCTTGCCTAAAGGAACCCTGCTGAACCCCCAGGAGCCCACCCCTGCTAATCTTGTTAGGCAAAGTACAGTTCCATCTCTTCCTAGATTAAAAAAAACTATTTGGAAATCTATTTTCTGTTCTTTAGCAAAAAGAAAGCATCAACCTTAGCAGTTTTAAGATATGTGACTGGCTGGGGAATTCTGGGAGTTGAAATCCACATATCTTAAAATTGCTGGGACTGAGAAACACTGCTGTAGTGCACTGCTTTTCAAAAGATGCATTGGTAGTCCTCAACCTAAGACCATAATTGACCCTGAAATTATGGTTCTAAATCGTTGGAGTCATTCAGCGGGTCACCACATAACCGGACCTGATTTTATTACATTGTTTTGCAATGGTTGTTAATTGAATGCCGTGGTTTTTAAGCCAATCCATTTTACTCAATGGGTGTTTTCGCTGGAAACTGGAAGTAAATACCAGTCACTGGCAAAAAATGTCAAAAAATATGTGACTGTGGAAACTGCAAATGGCCATAAAGGTGAGCTGGTTGCCAAGTGCCCAAAAATGCAATTACATAACCACAGTGAATGTGTGGTTGTCGTAACTTCAAAATCAGACCTGCAAGTAGCTTTTGGCAGATCCTTCGTAACTTCAAATGGTCACTAAGTGACTGGTTGTAAATCAAGATCTATCTGTAGATGATTTTCCTTATTTGATGTGTTGGCAATAAACTAATATCCATCCACGTGATGTTGAATCTCTCTGCATGGTATATACCGTATTTTTTGGAGTTTAAGACTCACCTTTTCCCCCCCTAAAAGGGGGTGAAAATTTAGGTGCATCTTATACACCGAATGTAGCCCCGCCCACCCACTCGCCCCCATCTTTTGGCCTCTGCCTCCCAGCAGTTTATCTCCTTGCAGCAAGCAGCAAGGAGAAACAGCTCGTTTCAGCTTCAGCACAGCCTAATTAGCACAAGTTGATTGTCCATTTTGCGCGGGCCTCTGCTGCTTGCTTCAAGGAGGTAAATTGGGAGCAGATTTTTTTTTCTTGTGCTAATCAAGCTATGCTGAAAACGAAAACGAAAGTAAAGTAGGCTGTTTGCTGTTTGCTGCAATGAGGCAAAATTGCTGGGAGGCAGAGGCAGATTTCTTTTTCTTGTTTTCCTCACCAAAAAAGGTAGGTGCGTCTTATAGTCCGGAGCGTTTTATACTCTGAAAATACGGTAATTCTTTTTTAAAAAATCTGTTTATCGTAGGTTGGAGACATCATTTCCGTGATTGACATGCCCCCCAAAGAGGACAGGAGCTGGTGGCGTGGGAAGCATGCATTCCAGGTTAGACTTGATGAACAAAATGGCTCTGTAAATGAAGCTGGGATGTTCAACCAGCATTCATGCATTTCACACCCACTTGGGCTTGAATGGTGGTTCCCAATGCGGTTAACTTCCAAGGGCATGAATTTCGGGCACTGAATCCTGCAGCCAGCATGGCTGGATTGGAAAACAGTGGACAAGAACTGCCATGTTCACATTTTATCTGAAAAATGGACAAAGCCCATACAATAGGCCAATTATGACAGATGATCAGCAGGATTCTGAACCTTTTCTCCTACCCATCGCTTTCCCTTAGACATTTCTCCTGCTTGCTGTTATACGAATTCCTTTGGAAGGAAGGAATCAGTGGGAATCATTTGATAACTCTAAAATATTTCAGCACAAATGAAACTGATTTTTTTTTCCTGAAAGCGCAATTTTCCTTTCCAGTTTTAGCACTGTGCTCTTTTCCCAGTCTTTTAATTAAAGCTGAAATCGTTTTAGTCTCCAGTCTCTTAGTTAACGTGAAACACGTTTTAGTCTCCTTTAAAAACAATCATCATCATTTAATGACCCCTTAATCCCTTGCGGGATGGAGTCTGGGCAACTGAATGGAGCTAGCAAAGTGTTTTAATGCAGAGTTTTGATCAGCAAGTATATTCTCATTTGGCCAGAGAGAGAAATATCTGCTGCTATCTAGGATCAAACTCACAGCCTCCTGATTGTGAGGTGAGAGCTCCACCTCTAGGTTACCGCACCACTCTTATCCTTTAAAAACCAACAATTAAATGAATTGTTAAGCGGTATTGAAAAAAGTGTTGATCAGTGCATAATCAGTACAGTATATGTTTAAAATAGGATCTGGCTGGATTTGTTCCTGTGGAAGTTCTTGCTTATTCACAAAGAAGGAGTGTAAATAGGGACAGAGTGAGTTATTCCCATACAGGTAATCCTCAATTTATGGCCGGAATTGGGACTGGAATTTCCATTGCTAAGGGATGCTGCTGTTAAGTGAAACCTGCCCAATTATACAACCTTTTTTTAACCATTGGTTGGTAAGTGAATCAACGTGGTTGTTAAGCAAACCTGGCTTCTCCCATTGGCATTGTTTGTCGGAAGCTCCCAGGAGGGTTTTAAATGGCAACCAGTGACTTATGACACTGCAGCCATCATAAATACATGCCAGTTGCCAAGCACCTGAATTGCGATTGCGTGACTGTGGAGATGCTGCAGTTGGTCATAAGTGTGAGAACTGATTGTCAGTCACACTTTGTTATGCAGTTGTAAGTTTGAACAGTTGTTAAGCGAATGGCTAAGAGTTGAGGACTTCCTGTAATGGTGGGGCTTTGTACCTAGAGGGATTTTGTATTTTTTTTCCAGGTGGGTTTCTTTCCCAGCGAATGTGTGGAACTATTCTCAGAACGTCCTAGTCCAGGAGTCAAACCAGGTGAGTGCCTCCTGTGCTCTGGACTACCTGCATCAATCTAAGGCAGGGATCTGCAACCTTAAACACTCAAAGAGCCATTTGGACCCGTTTCCCACAGAAGGGGGGGAAAAAAAAAACGGGAGCCACAAAACCTGGCTGGGCGTGGTCAACTCCATATCACTCACTCCCACCCAGTCACATGACCCCCCTAGCCACGCCTACCTAGCCAGTCATTAGGGCAGAGAACTAGTTGTTAAAAAACACCGGGAACCACAAAACCCCTTTCTTTCTCCCTCCCTCCCTCTCTCTCTCCCCCGCTCTCTCTGTATCTCTGTATGTCTCTCTCTCTGCCCCTCTCTCTCTTCCCCTCTCTCCCCTTCCCTCTGTATCTCTCTCTCCCCCCCTCTCCCTCTCTATCTCTCCCCTCTCTCTGTATCTCTCTCTCTGTGTATCTATGTCTCTTTCTCCCCCTCTCTCTTTCTCCCCCCTCTCTCTGTATCTCTCGGATTTCCAAGGCCAGACGAGTGACTGGAAGGGGAGGGTGAGGGGTGGGGCCAGCCAATGATGGTACAGGGAGCCGCAGCAGAGGACCCAAAGAGCCGCGGGTTGCTGACACCCAATCTAAGGGAAGGGTGTCAAACTCAATTTCATTGAGGGCTGCATCAGGGCTGTGGCTGACCTCGGGGTGCCGGGTGGGTGTGGCCAACTAGGTGGGCATTGCCAGCTTGATGTCATTCACTGGGTGTGGCTGACTGGGTGGGCATGGCCAACTTAATGCCACTCCCCAAACTGCTGGCATGTTTACTCTTTGCACTGGGTAGACCGGGCTGAAGCCAGGCTGGTCCGATGTTTCCTCTTCACATTGGGTACACTGGGCTGAAGCAATAAGGGCTGGCCCTTTACATTTTCCAGGACAGCCCCGCAGGCTGGATCCGACCACATCAGCTCACGGGCCTTGTGTTTGACACCCATGAACTAAGGGAATGAACTAAATGGTCTACAGTCCCTTTTCATCCTCCTATCTACCAATGGAGTAATTTGTAGTTTGTCCCTTGATAAAGCAAATGACCCTATGGAGAACGCTACATAAAGCAGTAACCGCCGTGGAAAAGTTCTCCCTTGGGGTTCTCTAGTTTGAGGTGGTGGAAAGATCTGAAGAAGAACATAGGATCCTGGAATTCAAGAGCCTGTAAGTGGTCATTTTAGATCACAAAGACCTACTGTCAGCTTTGGAAGCCATATTAGCACCAGAAGCTTCCACGCTGCCAACTTCTTGCGCTTGGGAAAGTAGGAGGGGGGATTCAGGAGACCGATTGTAGTTAGACATAATAGCATTCTTCCCTTCGGTCAAGGTCATGGTGTTTCTGCATCCGGAGGAGGAGTGGTTTCAATGATAGCTCAGGTTGGGACGGATGATGATTGGGCCTTGTGACGGACTGATGGGTGCAGGGGCTGGAATTGGGGTTTTGATTTACTGAGGGAAAACCCAGAACTCTCAGATTCGGGGTTTCCCAGATGTACCAGTTTACCTACTCTAATAAATGGGAACTTTGAGAAATGCCTGCCTTGGAGGTCTTAATTGGAGTTGGGGTTTTCTGGAATGCTGACACCTACGCTTTGATTAGTGTCTATGGAGATTCTCAGTCATCCAGGTCATGGTTATCCCCAAGGTATTTCCTTGGTTTTCTTATCCTTTTCCGCCCAACCTGGTCATGTGAATTTTTTTCTTCTCTCTGAATTTTTGTGACTTTCTTTGTCTCTCCCTGTGTAGATGCAGAGGGGACAAGCTGTGTCCTCCCCAGGACTCCTGGCCTCCTGTCCCCAACCTCAGGTAAATTACAATCTAAAAATAGGGGAAGATGGGAGCTATCGTATTTTTTGGACTATAAGATGCACCTGAGTATAAGACGCAAGATTTCGAAGAGGTAAACAAGAAAAAATAAGTTTTTGCCCTCCCTGGCTCCCAGGAGCACTCTGCAGGCCTCCCAAACCCTCTGCACGTCCTGTTTTCCTGGTGGCTGGGAAGGGCAAAAATGTGACACATGGGGGGTTTGGGAGGCCAAAAACGGGCCCGATTTTTGCAAAAATGGGGCCTGCAGAGGGTTTGGGAGGCCTGCAGAGTGCTCCTGGGGGCTGGGGAGGGCAAAAACGCCTCCGTTTTTGTGAAAAATGGGCCCATTTTCGCGAAAAATGGGCCTGTTTTGGCCTCCCCAGCCCCCAGGAGCACTCTGCAGGCCTCCCAAGCCCTCTGCAGGCCCCGTTTTTGCAAAAAACAGGCCTGATTTTGGCAAAAATGGGACACGCGGGGTGGGGTTTCGTGAGGCCAAAAATGGCTATATTCGGTGTATAAAACACACCAACATTTCCACCATTTTTAGGGGGGAAAAAGCGTGTCATATACTCCAAAAAGTACGGTAATTGTCAGCTGGGAGGAATGCTGATTGTAAAGTTTGTCTCCTGCTCCAAAGCTTAATTCCTGGCCATCCGCCCTATTTTTCGTTCTCTTCCAGTGTCTAAGAAACATGGCAAGCTCATTGGGTTCCTTCGTACTTTCATGAAGTCTAGGCCCAGTAAACAGCGCCTGAAGCAGCGGGGAATCCTCAGGGAGAGGGTTTTTGGCTGTGATTTGGGAGAACACCTTAAAAACTCAGGCAGTGATGGTAAGTTGGCTCTTCTGTAGCGGCTGGTCTCCTATTAAATTTTATTTTTCATTGCCTCCTTCCATTATGGTGGTATTCACCCTACACCAATAACCACCAACCTTTTGGGAGCTACGGACTAATTCAGTGGAGAGCGGTTTTTCCGTGGACCGGTGGGGGGTGGCATCGTTTCACACTCTGCCTGAATCCTGTGCATGCACAAATGGGGCTTTGCTTGCTTACGTGGCCCTGTTCCTGGCAGGCCGCGGACGGACCGATGCTGGTCCGTGGATCGGGGTTGGAGACCCGTGCTTTACAGGATGATTACAACTCTAGAGGCTGCATTCATACCCCATGCTTGGCTATTTTTAACATTGGTTCATGTTATTTTGTGACTTAGTATATGTTGCATGAATCCAGTCTGATGGAGTTAATTAATAGTTCAGTGTTTTGCAAAAATTCAGGGGATCAACTAATCATCAAGAGCATGTCTGTATGTGTGTTGTTTCTTCTTCTTCTTCTTCTTCTTCTTCTTCTTCTTCTTCTTCTTCTTCTTCTTCTTCTTCTTCTTCTTCTTCTTCTTCTTCCTCCTCCTCCTCCTCCTCCTCCTCCTCCCTCCTCCTCCTCCTCCTCTCCTCCTCCTCCTCCCCTCCTCCTCCTCCTCCTCCTCCTCCTCCTCTTGCTTTCAACAACATCATCATCATCCTGAGTCAATCCATTGCAGGATGAATCCCTCTTCACGGAAGGTTATTTAGAAGTGTGTGGGTGTGTGATTACACATTTTGAAAGGTACACATATGTTCATGCACGTACACATTCTCTCCCTCTCAAACCCCCTGCCATATTCCCAAATGATGTAATATCATTAGAAACATTACTCTCCCATTGTCTGTTTTTTTCTAAGAATTATGAAAATTTATATGACATTTTTTTATTATGTCAGTCCCCCAGGTATTACGTTCTTGTTCCGATTTCATCGAAAAACATGGCGTCGTGGATGGCATTTACCGTCTCTCCGGTGTCTCCTCCAACATCCAGCGTTTGCGGTGAGGGTAGACCATGGGAAGAACAATAGAGAGAACTTGTAAACAGCAGGGCAGAGAATAACTAACAATACATATGTGATGGGGAGATTTGCCTATGCATATGCCTCATACCTGCCTCTTTTGTTGTAAAGTCCCACCCACAATTTGTGGCCACGGTGAAATCCAATTTTTTTTTACTACCGGTTCTGTGGGCGTCGCTTGGGCGTCGCTTGGCTTGGCTTGGTGGGCATGGTAGGGGAAGGATACTCCCAAATCTCCATTCCCACCCCACTCCAGGGGAAGGATACTGCAAAACCCCCATTCCCTCCCCACTCTGGGGCCAGTCAGAGGTGGTATTTGCTGGTTCTCCGAACTGCTCAAAATTTCCGCTACCGATTCTCCAGAACCTGTCAGAACTTGCTGGATTTCACCCCTGTTTTGTGGTATACATAAATTAAATGTGAGTGGGTATCTCGCCACGTACTGTACATCACAGATGAACAGCCTAAAATCTACTTTGTGGCTCCTTTCCAACCAGAATGTCTGAAACTTCCCATTTGAGGCAAAGTCCAAGAAAAATGGTAGCATCTATTCTCAGATAAGATTCACCATCTTTTTCTTCCAAAATTCAGGAAAAACTAGGTTTTTTTAGTCTGGTGGTAAAGGTGCTGGTCTAAGAACCAGGAGACTGTGACTTCTAGTCCCACGTTAGGCATGAAAGCTGGCAGGGTGATTAGGGTCAGTCACCAGGAGACTGTGATGTCTAGTCCTGCCTTACTCATGAAAGCTGGTTGGATGACTTTGGGCCAATTACCAGGATATGGTGAGTTCTAGTCCCCCCCCCACCTTAGGCTTGAAAGCTGGTTGGATAATTTTGAGCCAATCACTGGGATACAGTATGTTCTAGTCCCACCTTAGGCATGAAAGCTGGTTGGATGACTTTGAGCCAATCACCGGGCTACGGTGAGTTCTAGTTCCCCCTTAGGCATGAAAACTGCTTGGATGACTTTCGGCAAGTCACTCTCTCCCGGTCCAAATAACCTCACAGGGTGGTTGTTATGGGGAAAATAGGAGGAGGAAGGTATATTAGGTATATTCACCACCTTGAGTTATTCATAAAAACAATAATAAAGGCAGAATCAAAATCAAATAAATAAAAACTAGAAAAATCCTAATAGCATAGACCAGGGGTGTCAAACTCGATTTCTTTTGAGCGCCGCATCATTGTGTTTGACCTTGGGGGGCGAGGGGGGCTGTGGCCAGGTCAACATCAACTCGTGTCGGGGGCACCTGTGGTTGCCCAAGCACTCTCCCCGTGAAAACGGAGCTCAGGAGGGCCGCCTGCTTTGCTGGCAGAGGCACCACGGGCTGGTCCTTTGCTATTTCCAGGGCAGCCCCGCAGGCCAGATCTAAGCACCCGGCAGGTCGGATCTAAACCCCGGGCATTGAGTTTGACACCCCGGCATAGACCATGATCCCACCTGCTTTGTATCATTGAGGTGCCTACTGTTGTCTTTCTACCAGAAAAGTTTCTCCACTGGAGCCCTCCCTGGATGTAACAATGAATCCATGCAGCCTATCCTGCTCCTTGCTGAATTCTCTTTGTCTCTGTCCCCAGGCATGAATTCGATAGCGAGCGGGTACCTGAGCTCTCCAAAGATGTTTACTTGCAAGACATCCATTCCGTCAGCTCTCTCTGCAAGCTCTACTTCCGGGAATTACCGAACCCTCTGCTCACCTATCAGCTCTACAATAAATTTGCGGTAGGTTTAAAAAAAAAACATTAGAGAAGATTCCCTTTCTTGTAGCTCTCGCTTCCCATGAGCTGTACCTTAGCAGCTCACCCTCCTGTGCGTCCGGTTGAAGGGAAGCTGCTTCCTCATTGCATTGAGTTTCATGTGCCTTTCGTGGAGGGTTCAGTTGTGCGAAAATATGTCTTTTTTTTTTTTAATTGGGGAACATTTTGCATGTGCCTTTGATTTTACTTACTCAGTGTAGAACATCTCCTTATTTATTGTAATTGTTGATCTTCCTTCCTTCCTTCTTTCCTTCCTTCCTTCCTTCCTTCCTTCCTTCCTTCCTTCCTTCCTTCCTCTCTTTCTTTGTTTCTTTTTTCCTCTCTCTCTTTTTTCTCCTCCTCCTCTTCCTCTTCTTCTTCCTCCCTCCCTCCCTCCCTCCCTCCCTCTATCCATCCATCCATCCATCCATCCATCCATCCATCCATCCATCCAATATTACTCTGAAAAAATTGGTAACAATAGACACCTTTCTTAAAAACTACCCAAATGATAACAAGAAATGCAAGGTGGATCCTTAGGGGTCATAACTTAATCTTGGTGCCACAAACTGAAAAGCTCCATTCCTTTATCAATAAGACAACCCAGAGGAAAGTGCAAATTAAATTGGTTAACAACACCCACCAATGAATCCACATTTAACGTCAATAAGAAGACTCCCCCCCACCCCCCACTACTCATGTGACTTTTATTACCTATCTTAGGGAGCCTGTCATTTGTCCACACCTTCTAGTGACTCCTGTGTGCACCTACTGGAGATGCAAATGATGAAGAGAGCATTGGAACCACATACTCAACAACAACCTGAGCTGCGCACCCATTTTTAGGCGGAACAGTGGAAGTGGGAATTGTAGAACAAAGAGAGGGAGAGGGAGGAGGTGGAAGAATGGAGTACAATTACATTGCCCTCCCACGGTTGTGATGCCCACATAACAAGCAGCAATTTCTCCTGCTCTATTATTCTTTTGTATTACCTGCTCTTTGTGTGGTGCTATTTTAAGCTGAGTTAACTCCAATTGCCCTCCCCTTTTCGTTTCCTCCCCCCCCCATTCCTTTCCATTCTCTTTGAACTATATTTCTTTTACTTTGGTGGCATTCATAAAGAGGCCATCTTGCAAAACCCAGAAGTTCAATTTTATTGCTCAAGGATAGTCTTTGGAGCACCTGCTCCTTCTCATCATGTTTCAGACCCCTTTTCTGAACTTTCACTTTAATTGAAACAAAGGAAACGTCATTCCCCTTCGTGGCTCCATTAAACATAGCAGCTGGAAGTTACAGGCAAAGAAGAACCTTAGTTAGGCTTTAGGGAAAAGTGAAGACTCTTTTGAGTTGGACTCAAGTCTTTGTGAGTCCATGGACGTGTCCATTTTGATTTCTTTTCACTGTACTTAGAGTTGGAAAAAAGTTTCCTGAAAAAAGTTGTCATTTTGTTGTTCTGCCCCATCCAGGTTTGAATCCTAGTAATTTTTGATAGTCTCCCAGCCAAATATTTGTCAAATCCAGGGGTCTGCAACCAGTGGTGAAATCTAAAATTTGTTACTACCGGTTCGTGGGCGTGGCTTGGTGGTGGTGGGGTAATGTGACTGGGTGGGCATGGCCATTTTTTTTTTTTACACTTTTAAAACCATTTTTTCTACAACCTCTTCGGCGAAGAGGTTGTAAAAAAATGCTTTCAAAAGGCTCTGACGATCCCAGCTGAGTTGCCTGATTGGCAGAAAGATTTTAAAAACCCTCTGACGATTAGGCAACTCAGCTGGGATCGTCAGAGCTTGGATCGTCAGAGGCATTTAAAAGAAAAAAAGCCTCTGATGATCGCACGGCTCAGCTGGGCATGGGGGGGGGGGCAGGGATTTTTGCTACCGGTTCTCCGAACCACCCGCCTCCATTGCTACCGGATTGGGCGATCCGGTCCGAACCGGGAGCATTTCACCCGTCTTCAACCTTAAACACTCAAAAGAGCCATTTGGACCCCTTTCCCACAGAAAAGAAAACCCATCCTTGCTCTTCCCCCTTTCCCCTCCCTACTCACTGCTCCTCTATTTACTTTTGTATTTTGTATTTTATAATATAACTCAATAAAAAATGCTTACAATCCATAGAACTTATAAACATCCTGACAGTGACATGTCTCCTTCAATTCTCTCTCTTCTTTTTTCCCCCTCCCCTTTTTATAGGAGGCTGTCTCAGTTTCTGGGAACGAAGAGCGCTTAGTGAGGGTACATGATGTGATCCAGCAATTACCCCCACCACACTACCGGTAGGTATTGTTTGGGGACATGGATAAATGCCCAGAGAACGGGATGAAATGGTTTGGGGAGGTGTTGGATGGGGGAGAAGCCACTGAAGGGTGGGGAAGAGGGCTCAGGGTGTTGACGGAGACTCTCCCTGTAGCAGCTTCTGCTCTGTCCCAACAGGACTCTGGAATTCCTGCTACGGCATCTGGCACGCATGGCTATGCACAGTCAAAACACCAGCATGCACATCCGCAACTTAGCCATCGTTTGGGCACCCAACCTGCTGCGGTGAGACGCCCAGACCAATGGCCCTGCCCTGGCGCTCCCTCCGCGACTCTGCCCTTGCACCATCTTCACTGGCCTCTGCGCCGCTCTCTAGATAGTCTTTGAGTCACCATCAGCCATTCTTCCCTTGCACTAACCCTTAACCCTCGGTGCTAACACGGTAACGTGTCGCTCAGCTTTTCCGCTGGAGGTGCAATTTGACCAAGCAGCCATTTTGGAAGAGAAGCCTTTTCGCAGGCTTTCAAAGCATCTTCTGCAACTCTGTCCTGCATCAGGACATGGTTGGAAATCAGCGGAGGGGGTTTCCTGCCATTTTTAGAACGTGTTTGATTTATAATAAGCTTAGGGTGGCTTAAAAAAAAACCCCAGCACCCCCACCACCACCACCAAACTTGAAAAAATGTTTCAGAAAACCTTGGTTCCACTGATTTCTGTAATGTGGTCCTAGCCACATTATTATCACTGCTGCTTCCCCTGTAACATCGATCGCTCTCCTCAAAAGTTGTTTGTTCTAATGACTCTTGAAAGCATTTCATTTCCCCCATCTGTCTGCCTTATTCTGCCCGTTTTTACCAGTGGTGGAATTCAAATAATTTAACAACCGGTTCTCTGCACTAATGACCAGCTGGGTAGGCGTGGCTTGGTGGTCATGTGACCATGTGGGCATGGCCAACTCGATGTCACTCACGTCGTTGGGCGCTTCGCCTTAGCTGTTACAATGTAATAAGGGTTAACCGGAGAGGCAGTTTCTAGTAAGCAGGGCAATAAAGATTAGGCTAGAAACAAGACCAGAATATTTCTTTCCTGCCTTCCTTACAGGATTAGCCCCGTAAAGTGGAAAAAAACAAAATAAGATTTCTTCCAACAACCGGTTCTCCGAACTGCTTAGAAAGTTAACAACCGGTTCTCCTGAATAGGTGCGAACTGGCTGAATCCCACCATTGGTTTTTACCCATAATGCCCCTTCATCCTCATTTTCTCATAATCCTCCATGGTGTGCTGCTCCGTCTGCACCCATGAGGGTCTTCAGTCATGATGCTTTTTTGGATTTGGGATGCCCTTCCTGCTGTCATAGGGCTATGTTGTGTGTCCCCTTTATGCCATAAAGATGGCTTCCTGAGCCTTGACTATCATTTTCTTCCTATCTGAGCCTTTCTGTTGTCTGATAAGGCTAATCATCCTTTCCCCTTTTAATGCCAGGTCGATGGCTCTGGAGTCAGTCGCACAGTGTGGAGCCGATGCCTTTCAGGAAGTCCGAGTTCAGTCCCTCGTGGTCGAATTCCTCCTCACCAATGTTCAGGTTCTCTTCAGTGACACCTTCACCTCCATCGGCAAGGACAGCACAGGTACCTCAAGAAATGGGCGAATACTTCCAAGGTTGCTTAGAACTCTTCTAGCAACTCCATGATGTGACCTAGCCTTACTGAGTCATTACAATACACAATTAGTCCTAAAAAACCTATTTTATTGTAACAGCTGAGAATTACGTTCTTACGTTCATTCCCAGCTGAGTCCCAATTAGTTGCAAAACAAGTCCTTCGGAAGAAGCCCTTCGGGATAATCACCAACCTTTATCTTCTTTGACATCATGCCAAAGGCTTTACTTGGCAAAGCCCCACAAAATTCAGAAACAAACAAGAGATGCCGACTGGAAACAGAGTTAGCAACGTTGCTTTCCTGCAAAAGGCCCAAGTGCCTTTGTTTCTCTTTTAAGCCTTATGGGAGGGGCCAATAATCTCCTGGCCTTACTCCCGAGTCGTCCCTTTTGCTTTAGCTGCTCTTGCCTTCTGGCAGCTCTGCGCATGCATGCACTAGGAACAGGCTCCTCCTGTTCCTCTGCCTCTCTGCTGTCCGACTCGGGGGCTCTGGAGTCCGTGCATCACTCCCAGGTGGCCCTGGCCCCATCTCTGCCTCCGACACGGAGCCCTCATCCGGGCCTTCCCCAGACTCCAGGACTGGCCCATGTTCCTCCCCAACCTCCTCATGTCCGACTACGCTGCTAGCTCCGCACGCTGCTGGCAGACCACAACACCCCACAGCACAGTGTTTCTCAACCTTGATAACTGTGGACCAGAGTTCCCCACTGCCAGCATGCTGCTCAGGGGATTCTGGGAGTTGAACTCCACACATCTCAATATTGCTAAGGCTGAGAAACACTCTTCAGATGCTTACTCATTTCTGCGTGTTTCACTTTTCTGTTTTTAAACTCATGAAACATTTAAAAAAATACTTGGCAAATTATTCAATATTTTTTTAAAGGGAGAGAGTGGGATGTGTTAGCGACAACACATGAATCAGCCAATCATTTCACAAGTGGCCTTTCCATCATCCCAATTAAAAGATGGTACGGGTAGTCCTCGACTTATGACCACAATTGAGCCCCAAATTTCTGTTAAGTGAGACCTTTGTGAAGTGAGTTTTGCCCCGTTTTACAACTTTACTTGCCGCAGTTGTTAAGGGAACCACTACCGTTGATAAGTTAGTAACCCGGTTGTTAAGTGAATCTGGCTTCCCTGTTGGCTTTGCCCGTCAGAAGGCCACAAAAGGGGATCACATGACCTTGGGACACAGCAACGGTCATAAGTATGAACCAGTTGCCAAGCGTCTGAATTTGAATCACATGACCATGGGGATGCTGCACTGAGGGATGCAGTGGCTAAGACGCTGAGCTTGTCGATCGAAAGGTCGGCAGTTCAGCGGTTCGACTCCCGCGTGCCACGTAATGGGGTGAGCTCCCGTTACTTGTCCCAGCTTCTGCCAACCTAGCAGTTTGAAAGCAGGTAAAAAAATGCAAGTAGAAAAATAGGGACCATCTTTGGTGGGAAGGTAACAGCATTTTGTGTGCCTTTGGCGTTGAGTCATGCCAGCCACATGACCATGGAGACATCATCGGACAGCACTGGCTCTTCGGCTTTGAAACGGAAATGAGCACCGCCCCCTAGAGTCGGGAACGACTAGCACGTATGTGCGAGGGGAACCTTTACCTTTATCTTTACTATCCCGTTTCCTCTAACAGGACGTTGCTTCCTTTCTCGACCCAAATCCCAGTTGGTCAGCTGCCCTTCCACCCGCTTGTTATCTCTTGAAGAAGCCCAAGCACGCACCCAGGCCCTCTGCAAGATCACCAAGCTGGAAGCCAGACGTGGATCTCCAGATCCACAGGACCAAGGGAAATTCTCTGCTGTTTTGGGATCACCTAATACCAGGTAAGTGCTGTATCCATGGACCGAGACACTGAACCTCTAGATCAGAACTGGAGGAACTATGACCCTTTTATGCAAGGGTGGGCTTCAAAAATTTTATCAAGGAGTTCTCTGTCCAGTTGCTGGATGGGCGTGGCCATGGTGGGCGTGGCATTGTCAGCCTCCTGCACAGCCTCCTCCCTCTTGGGGGGGGGGACTTTTTTTGCCCTCCCTGGGCTTCGGAGGCTTTTCTCGAGCCTCCAGGAGGGCAAAAATGGCCTCCCCAGGTTCTGGAGGCCGGAAACGGGCCCAAACATCCATAGACCTGTTTTTCACCCTCCCCAAGCCTCTGCGCGCGCCCTGCACTGACCTACATCCAAAACAGGCTGCGTGGGGACTCCTGGGTGGGGCTGGGCGGGGCCAGTCAGGAGTGGGATTTGGGGGTTCTCCGAACAGCACAGAATCTTAGGTAGAGGTTCTCCCAAACCTCTGCAAACCCCCAGCAGCCCACCCCTGCTTTTATGACTTATGGACTTCAACTCCCAGAATTCCTGAGCCAGCTGGCTCGGGAATTCTGGGAGTTGAAGTCCATAAGGGGCCATAGTTCCCCACCCCTGCTCTAGATACTAGGAGCTGGAGAAGATTTTAAAGATTAAAGTACAATTGAACCCTTAGGTCAAATGTACTTTACCAAGAGCCTTGTACTACCAAGAGCCTTGGTAGTACAGTGGTCTAAGGCACCCTGTTATTAAGCTGGTTATTAAGACCAGATGCCTGCAATTACTGCAGGTTCGAATCTCGTCAAGGCTCAAGGTTGACTCAGCCTTCCATCCTTTCTAAGGTAGGTGAAATGAGGACCCAGTTGTGGGGGCAATAAACTGACTTTGTATAAATATACAAAAGAATGAAGGCTATTGCTTAGCGCATTGTAAGCCGCCCTGAGTCTCCGGAAAAGGACGGCATATAAATCAAATTAAAAAACAAACAAACAAAAAACCAGAGATGCTTCTTTGGAGACTAATGAATAGGCAGCTAGAAAAATAAATGGAACTTTGTTCTTGTCTATGACAACTGCAGTGAGATTATTGTATCCTCCAAAGTGGGGAAGTTTGACCACAATAGAGGAATGGTTGGTGAAGAGGATGGAGCTAGCAGAGATGGTTCAATTGACATCTTTGATTAGAGAAAGAACAATATCTACATTTATGACTGACTGGAAAACTCTTTATAGACTCTTTGCATGAAACAGAAAAAAAATGCACTTATGATTTGTGGTTTTGATGATTAGAAAAAATATATCTAACGGAAAAAGTGAGTTAAGAATAAGAGATTTTTTAAAAAAAATTTGATTTATATGCCGCTCTTTTCCGGAGACTCAGGGCGGCTTACAAGGCATTAAGCAATAGCCTTCATACTTTTGTATATTTTATACAAAGTCAGCTTATTGCCCCCACAAACCGGGTCCTCATTTTACCTACCTTAGAAAGGATGGAAGGCTGAGTTCGACCTTGAGCCTGGTGAGAATTAAACTCGCAGTAATTGCAGGCAGAACGTATTGTATATTTGCTGTAAAGAAAATTGGAAACTTTTTTCCTATTGTTCTCTCTTGTTTCCTTTTTCTTTCTTTGTTTTCCTCATGTCCGTATTAGTTTTTATTAGTTTTCAGTGTGCTTTGTGCAACTTGTCATAAAATTTATATTAAAAAGTAGAAACTAGGTGCTGGGAATGAATTACAGTTAATTGTTTATTAATATTTGCTCTTGAAAGAATATGGTGATTATGGTGAAAACAGAGCTCGGGAGCTGGCACGAGTGACACTGAGCTGGCCATGCCCATCCTGGCCACACCCACCACGGCCCCCAAAGGTCAAACACAACCCTGATGTGGCCCTCAATGAAATCAAGTTTGACACCCCTTCTCTAAGATGACCTCTCACTTTATAGGCAAAAGACAGAAAACAATGGCAAGCTGCGGAAAATATCTGGACCTAGTTGGAAGACGTTCTTTGCCATCGGCAAGGCCCCCGTCCCGTTCCGCAAAAAATCACATCGCTTGGGAGAGCTTTTTGGACTTGGAGAATCTTTACCAGGTAGAAAAACTACACGCCGTTTGTTTTTTATCACGCTTAACATCACAAGCACATACGTATTTCCGGAGCAAATATGGGAATTTATGGCCTACTAAGTGTGGCTCAACTACGACTCCCAGAATCTCTGTGGGTTTCACGTGTTGTGTCAATTTACTCCTTATGGCAGAGTTTTGATATGAGCCCAATGCGACAGAACCAGATGAGCAGTATATTCCGTTACCTTTTTCCGTATATTGAATAGGCAAGATGACCCCCAAATGGGGTCAGAGTTGGCTTGCTGCCAGGGTTCCGAAGGATGCCCTAATTAAATCATGAGCCTCAAGCCAAGCTTCAAAAGAAATCCAGTTATTTATTAGGAGCTTCATGTTGTCACGTTCCCAAATGAAGCCAACTCTGACCCTACATAATTTACGGCCCCAATCATGACCCTGTTTCCCCCCCTCCCCCCAGGGTGTATCATCAATCACATTCGCCAACGGAGCAATTTTGCGGGTTGTAGAGATCACTCCCCTCTAGCCGCTGTGGGTAACCCTGGGAGACAGCCTTGAGAATGATATGTCTGGAATGTGCTCCTGTCTTTGGCTGCCATGCTGCTTTGTCGGTTTCCCATCCCCCTTGCCTATGGCAACTCGAGAGTAGGCCAGGGATCCTTTGCAAATTGACATAAGATTTTTGTTCCATGGATTCAAGGTCAAGGAGAGATTGCAGATTTGTGGCCTTTTTTAAGAGGGATAACGCTCATCTATTTCCTTTGTCCTCTTTCTCTGTAGGGAGCCGTGGTGAGACGGTCACCTTGCGATCCGCCAAAAGTGAAGAATCTCTAACATCTCAGGCTAGTCTAACAGGTAAAATGGCCCCTTTGTCTGCTGAACCCCCCCCCCCCCGGTGATTTTGCTCTTATCAAAATGGATTGCATGAACTTAAGGTGATCCTCCCAAAACATTTCTTCAAAGCGCTTGTTTCCCAAGTGTAGTGACTTCCAGACAAGTAGGGCTTCAGTTCCCAGCATTTCATAGCCAGCAAGGTCATCGCTGACAGTTCCAGGAGTTGATGTCCAGTTAGCTGGAACTTGTCAAGGTTCTGAGAAAGCTGCCTTGGGACAACTGCAGATTTTCTGAATTTTCTCATTGCTCTTAATTACCTGGGTTTGGCATTAAACTAGATGTGTAAGAAGCCAGATGTTAGAGTGATTTCATCACCTGTTACCTGATCAGGTTAGGCATTAACCATAAGACCCTCTGAATGTGAAGGATGTTCTTTATTGAGTTATAACTCCTGCAGTGAGAATACAGACACCACCATCTTTTTCTGAAGCTCCTTTAGGGTAGGGTAGGGTAGGATAGGGTAGGGTAGGATAATAGAGTAGAGTAGAGTAGAGTAGAGTAGAGTAGAGTAGAGTAGAGTAGAGTAGAGTAGAGTAGAGTAGAGTAGAGTAGAGTAGAGAGAGTAGAATAGAATAGAATAGAATAGTAGAGTAGAGTAGAGTAGAGTAGAGTAGAGTAGAGTAGAGTAGAGGAATAGAAGAATAGAATAGAATAGAATAGAATAGAATAGAATAGAATAGAATATGAGAGTAGAGCAGGGGTTTCTAACCTTGGCAACTTTAAGCCTGGAGGACTTCAACTCCCAGAATTCCTCAGCCAGTTTGCTGGCTGGGGAATTCTGGGAGTTGAAATCCTCCAGGCTTAAAGTTGCCAAGTTTGGAGACCCCTGGAGTAGAGTAGAGTAGAGTAGAGTAGAGTAGAGTAGAGTAGACTAGACTAGACTAGAGTAGACTAGACTAGACTAGACTAGACTAGACTAGACTAGACTAGACTACTGGAAGGGACCTTGGAGGTCTTCTAATCCACCCCCCCTGCTCAAGCAGGAGAACTTATACCTTTTCAGATAACTGAATGCATGCAGTTAGACAAGAATCTGCTAAGCACTGACTGCCTTCTACCAAAATCTGAGTCCATGCAAGCAACCTGTTCTTCAGAGACAGAAATATTCTTCTTCACAGTGTTGACTCTTGGACATCTAGCATGTTGAATAAACAGTTTGGAGAACTTTGATCCATGTCGTTTCTTTCTTTTTCTTTTTTTTTTTTTGGCCCTTAGGTCTCCCCAAATTGCCTTCCCTGAGACGTCCACATTCCAGCAGCGATGCTTTCCCTACCCTCAAACAATGCCACTCATGTTCTTCTCTGGGTTCCTCTGTGTCCGGCCACGGTGAAGGCTTGGCCACTGGGGCAGACGATGTGGCTTCCCGTCGGCGTTCCTCTTGGCTGGAAGGTGACTCAGAGCTGGACTCGGAGTTGGAATTAAGTCCTCCTGGGCTTCGTGGTCTGGACTTTGACCCGCTAACTTACCAGTGTAGCCCTCCTGTGCAGCAGCCATCCCTCTCGGACGACTCCAGCTCAGCGAGTCCTGTTGCGGCTCTCTCGCCCTGCTCACATCCCACCGTCGGTCAAGATGCATCAGAAACGTCTGTTTCCTTGCCTGACAAAGTGCTGGAGATGTTTGCTGGTGGGGAGTCCAGAGGGTTGAGCTCCCCTCCTCATATGATCTCCATGCTCCTGAGTACGGCAGGTGGACAACTCAGCAACTCTTGTGAACGGGAAGTCCGTGGCAAGATTTCTCAAGCCCAAGATCGTTTGTCTCCACCCAGTAAGTACTTTTTGACATTCTTCACTGTTATTGCTGTTGTTACACTTAACACAAAGAGCGAGTAGAATAAAACGCAACTTCTGCCTATAGGCAGACTGCAGTTCCCCAAAGGTTTGTTTTCCCATCCCCAGAGTTCCAGGGATTGCTAAAATGTCCTACAGATTATCAGTGAAAAAAAAAAACCCCTTTTGGAATGAACACACTACATACTCCCCTTTCCCCTGTCATCAGTATCTTCCCAAATTCTAGTCCTGCTATTTTTGGGATGCTCCCTAGGGTTGGGGATGGGTGGGTGAGCAGGCTATGGCCTCAAGAGTTTGCTGAATTGAAACATCTAGCAGTCTGTGCTGAGGGGTGCTAGGAATGTAACAGAGCAGTGGTGGGTTCCTCCCGGTTCGGCCCGGTTCTCCCGAGCCGGTAGCGGTGACGATATGACGTCACTGAATCGGTTCTGCCCCCCCGCCTACCCCCCACTCCTCGCACCCACCCCCACGTTATTCTTACCTTTTATTTGGCCCACCCCCAATCTATTGCTGCCTCCTGAGTCCCATCTGATGGCTAGAGGGAAAAAAAAACTGTTTAAACTCTTGCCGCAGGGCTTCAAAGGGCCGCCCTACAGCTGATCAGTGTTAAAAGAAAACAAATGAGTAGACCAGTGCCTGCAAAAAATAAATGGGTAGATCGGTACAGCTCTGCAAGCAGTTAAAAGCCTGGTAGACCAGTACCTCTGCTAAATCCGAAATAATTGTCACATGACCATCAAGCCACACCCACAAAATAAGCCATGCCCACAGAACCGGTAGTAAAAAATTATAGAACCCACCCCTGATCTGGAGGATCATCATCCCCTCAACTCTGATGAAGTTTCCAGCATTCCAGCCTAGATTAATAATAATTTATTAAGTAATTAAAAAAAAAACTTTATTATTACGTTAATAAAAAGTGTGATATCTGGAGGGCCATTGTTTTCCCAACTCTGATGAAGCTCCCAGCCTTCCAGTCTAGATTAACAATATTTATTAAGTAATTAAAAAAAACTAGATTAAGCTTGTACTTAATTCTCCTTCCTGCAAAGTTGGAGTTCCCGTTTTCTAATGCAAGGGGGCGCAATGGCTCAGCAGTTATAGATGCTGAGCTTGTCAGCTGGAAAGCTTGTCAGCTGGAAAGCTGACAGCCAGGTTCGAGATCTGAGCACCACGTGATGGGTAAGTTCCCGTTCTTGCTTCTGCCCTCCTAGCAGTTGGAAAACATGCAAATGTGAGTAGATCAACAGGTACCACTTTGCTGGGAAGGTAACAGCATTCCATGTGCCTCGGCGTATAGTCCTGCTGGCTACATGACCACGGAAGGGTCTTCAGACAATTCTGGCTGAGAAACGGAGTTGAGCACCGCCTCCCTAGAGTGGGAGACAACTGGACAGGGGAAACCTTTGCCTTTATTTTTATCCTAATGCAATCCTTATGCTGCCCTCTTTCTTTTCCCAATTCAGGTCCGAAGTCTGAAACCGCTCCCGTGTCTCCTGGTGCATTGTCCCTGCTGCGGCATATCCCACCGCCTCCTCCACCCAAGAACCCGGCTCGCCTGATGGCGCTGGCACTGGCTGAGAGTGCGCACCAGGCAACCTTGCAGCAAAAACGACAGGCCAGCCTGAAGCAGCGGGAACCCCGGACGCATTTCCGGCGCTCCCTGTCACTGGAGTGCAAGGCAGGGGAGCTGACGAGTGGCGCACAAGCGCTCTACTCCATGGTGCGGCCGAGCCCCAAGGTGCCTGGCCTCTCCCCTCTCCAGGCGCAGGCCAGGGGCAGGAGCATCGGCAGCCAAAGCCGCAACCTAAAGGGAGGCAGCCAGGTGAGGGATCAGCTCACGAAGGGCTGGGACCGAGCTGGGATAACTTTGCCATTAGGCAGGGTGCAGATTTTGGAATATTTCTAGAAGGATTTTTTTCCCCCCTTCTCCCGGTTATTCTTTGCTGCAATTTTCCCGCTATGTTGCGATCTGGGCCAAAAGATAAAAGAATACGATAAAGAGCCCCAACTTGTCCTGAGCTTCCTCGCGATCAAGAGGAAACCCGTCCTGGCTCTTCTGGCCAACTTGATGGAGAGATTTTAGCTACAGGAAGAGGATGGGATGGAGTAGAACAGGAAGGGGACGAAGGGAGGGACGAGGGTGGGAGGTGTTTGCCTGCTTGAAATGCCTTCTTGCTGCTCATTCAGTTTGCCTTGTTTCTCTGCAGGTGCCTCTCAGCCAATCTTCTCCCTTGGGTAGCTCGGATTCCTTTTCCCCTTACAGGAGGTTCCTCGCTGAGCTAGACCCGAGAGATCCTCAGGCACTTCCCTTCTCGGATCCCTACCACCTGTCCTCCCCATCTCCCGCCTACGGTTTGCATCCCCCACCCCTGTCTGTCCCCTATCCAGCTTTCCGCCAGTCTCAAGACGCCTTTCCTTCCTCCAGCCCTTCGGCTGCCCCGCCTAAGCCCCCTCCCCCTCCCCACTTTCCCATAATGACCAGTCACTTGCCTCTCAAAACGAGGTCCTCCACTTTTCAGCCCTGCCTCACGGACCATCCTCTCCGGCACCACAGCCACTTCCCGGCCTCCTCTCGACTGGGGGTCAATGGGAGTCCCCCTTCTCAGCTGGAGCATGAGAACCTCTATTACGAGATTGTGGGGGAGCCTCCTGCCTATCCTGGCCTGGCACGTCCGTGGCCCTCTTGTCCGCCCCCCGAGTATCTGGCCACTTTCAATGCCTCCTACGGGGTCTTTGAGAGGCCCTGGCGCCAGACCCATCTCCCCCCGGCTGCCTCCTCTCTTCAGCCCATCTTAAAGAATTCCCAGCTGCAAATCCAGTCGATGCCACCCGCGGTCACCCGTCAGGAGCCCATCTACGTCAACGTGCCCTTCCCCGAGCCCCCGTTGGTCAGCCCCACGCCGTCCCCTCCCCCCGAAGCAGCCCATCCCCGTAGTCAATCGGACCCGGGAGCTCCTCAGGCTTTGCCCCAGCCCAGCAGACCTCCCCTGCCTCAGAAGCAGAAGCTGGCTTGGGGTTACACACCTTCAGGGCAACACCGCCAACTGATGGACGTTTTGCCTTGCAGTCGTGCCGTGTGGCAGTTCTACCGCCCGCCCTCTGCGTGTTGGGGTCATCCCTCTTACGGTCCGGAACCCATTATCACCTACGACGGGGCCGCCCCCCACGTGGGGAGCCAGGCCTCGGCACCCTTGCAGAAGCTGGATGAATCTTCCCCACAGTACGGCAATGTGGAAAGGAGAGAGGGCTCTCCATCCGGGTGCTACCTCGGACCCAGCTGGACAGTGTATGCCGAGGGCCAGACGCACAGCTACTGCTGAGGGACACGCGGTGAGCAGATGCACAGTTTGGATCCTCGGGGCTGGGCTCCGGGTTTCTCTCCTTTCCTCTTCCTTGCCAGTATTCATGGAATTACACGGTATGGATTGCTGTGAAAAAAAATAAAAGACTTCGGAAGGATCTATCCGACTGGGTTACTCAGAGGTCGCGTCTTTGGCTCCCGCGTCGGGCATTGTGCCTGCCTCGTTTGGAGAACCTCTTTAAGGTTTGGAGAGCACACGAATCTTTCAAGGCAGGTCCTATGATCCCTGCAGGAGGTTTCTCTCCAGAAAATCAGCATGGACATCACACCGAAGAACTCAGCATGGCATCATTTCAGCCTTTGGGGGCACCGTAATGCCTCTGCCAGTTCCATTGTGTGTCCCATCCTTCCTGTTTCGGTTACGCCCCGTGTTGCTTTGTTCCACCTTGCCCTCTTTCCAACCATGGACTTCTAACTTCAGAGGAGAGGGTTTGCTTCCAATGGGATGACTGCAGCTGATTCCTTCTGGATTACATCATTTCGACCGCTTTGGCAACATGAATCACAATAGGATGCTTGGAATCCAGCCAGGGCTGCTAACCGTGTTCACGTCATGTGCGCTGAACTGACACAGAGAGGCGCTGTTGACCATGTTTTGCTCACCGCTGGGGAAGACTGCAGGCTTTGGAGGGGAAGAGAGTGAGCGAGCCATTAACAACTACCGGAAACCCTTGTTCCTCTTCTCTTCCAGCATTCAAACCAAAATAGTTCTAACTTGTCATAAGCATCCCTTTTAACCCAATTAAAATATTAACCACCTTCCCCTGTTGGTTTTCCCAGAGATCAAGCCAATTCCTGGAAGAAAGCCATCTCCTGGGCTGGGACATAGATGTCCAAGGAAAAGTATAAGATGCCCCCAAGGAAGGCAGACGGGCACACTCACAAGCTCCTTTTACAAGAGCACACACTCTTCGTGTGAGGTTGTAGCTAGGCAAGAGTGGCATGTTGAGAAAAAGCTAGGGGGAGCATGTTGGTCTCGTGCATTTCTGTATTTATTTAGGATTTCGGAATGGGTGTGTGTGTGTTTTACAAAAGGACCGAGGGGTGTGGGGGAGGGGAGAGGATACATACGGTACGTGCCTAGCATGGGAGGGCTCTGTGTGACTAAGCTGCAGGCTTGATGTGTGCTCGAGAGCGGGATTCATGTCTACTTGATATGTACATTCATGTCTGGGGTTGGCGCATGTGTGAGCGTGCGTGTCTGTGAAAGTGATTGTGCATGTTCCACAAGACAGTATTTTAGATAATATGGGGTAGGAGGAAGGGAGAGGCCTTTATGCTTTCTTCCTCTTGAGCAGTCGTTGGGGACCAGATTCGGTGGGGTTTCTCAACTTTGGTGATTTTAAGATAGCACCAGTAGCAGTAGCACTTAGACTTATATACCGCTTTACAGTGCTTTATTACAGCCCTCTCTAAGCGGTTTACAGAGTCAGCCTGTTGCCCCCAACAATCCTCATTTTTACCCACCTCGGAAGGATGGAAGGCTGAGTCAACCTTGAGCCTGGTGAGATTGGAACTCCCAAATTTCAGGCAGTCAGCAGAAGTAGCCTGCAGTACTGCACTCTAACCACTGCACCACCCGTGGCTCATGTTTAAGATACATATGCTGGCTGGGGAATTCTGGGAGTTGAAGTCCACGCGTCTGAAAAGTCACCAAAGCTGAGAAACCCTGAATTGGGGAAAGAAGAAAATCCTCCCCACCCACCCACCCACCCTCCGGTATCTCTAGCATCGCCCCCTCCTCCCCAAAGCACTTTTCTTAGGCTCCTTTTCAAATTATTATATTGTCAGATTTCATTTGGAAAAAAAAAGTGGGGGGAGGGAAGAAACAAAACAAGCAACAATGGGTAATGCATCACGGAGAAGGAAAAATATATATATATATTTCCTGAATGCAGTCCAGGTTTTAATTCAAGCACTTTGGGATCCTATTGCTTTCAGAGAGAGCCAAGCACAAATTTTAAGTCTCTTTCCCCTGAAATCCATAGCCTGCTCCTGGGCACGCTTGCTTGGAAGTCAGCCCCACAAAGGAATGCAAGACTGATGCCTGGGTTTGTGCACAACAAGATGACAGCCTTAATTGCGTTATTTTGAAGCTTCCCGTGGGATCTTTTTTTGGGGGGTGGGTGGGGTGGGTGGGTAAAGGGGTTGAATTCCTCCAGAGTTTGGGATCTGGGATCTTGGCCACCCCAGCTGGCTGGCACTCTCGTGTGGCAAGATCTAAAAGGTTCTTACTACAGACATTCCCGGCTTAACAAGAACTTTATTCATCTCTCCATCAGAAGGATATGCAATTGAATCCGACATCTTCAACTCCTCCGATAAAACAGCTTTCGGCGTAGAAATGTCTCGACCTACGCTAAGAATTTTAGATCTGGGATTGATTCCCTCCTCCAGTTCCACATCTGGGTTTAAACACAGAAATTGCACTAGCTTGACCACTTTTTGTAACGAAACGAAACAAAAATACCACCATGGTAAAAACAAAACAAAACAAAAAAACTTCCCAGTTGTTCCACATTTTCAATAGCTTATTTAGCTTGTTTTTCCAGGAACTTGAAAAAACATTGGAAGCTGTTTCTCTTGTGGTTTTGCAAAGACAACACTGGGGGTGGGAAAAGGGGCTTAATGATCCATGAAAGAAAATAATGATGTTGGAACTTAATCTGTGTTGTTGTTGGTTGGTTCAGGCTGGGGAGACAGAGCAACCTTGGGGATGGTTAACTTATCGTTAGTTCTACGTAAGGTTTAATGTCCCAAGATCTGGAGAGCAGCCAGGTTCACAAGTAAATTCTGGCCATCCTAAATGAACCTTGAAATGACCTGAAAATAGATGTAGGTTTCTACCAGCTTTCTACTACAACTTAATTATGGTGTGCTAAAGGGATTGCCAAACACTTTTCTTTCAATTTCATGAGCTTCTAGCACTTGGCTAGGCATTTCCACCTGAATATCACCAAACGTTAGATATTTTACAAGATCGTTCCATCAACACTTATTTGACCAGAGAGATTTAAGATACATATTTTGCAGTTCTGACGTTATGTGTGACTGGATTCGAAGCATAAATGCAGCTTGTGGGAGGCTCTTTTAATGCTTTTGACTACAGAGGTAGTCCTCGAGTTACGACTACAATTGGAACCAGAGCTTTGGCCGCCCCAAAAATGCAGTCGTTAAGTGAATCATGTGACTGGACCCAAATTAACCATTTTTGCTATTGTTAAGCAAATCAGAAAGTCATTAACGTGAATCGTGCAGGCAGGATCTAGCTGGGAAGCTTGTAAATTGCAGACACATAACAAGATGCTGCAACCATTCTAAGTGTGAGCTGGTTGCCAAGCAACCAGATCACAAGCATGAAGCAATCATCGCAGGGATGATGTACCGGTAGTCCTCAACTGTTCAGAGTTACAACGGCACTGAAAACGGCGACTTACGACCATTGTTCACTCTTAACGACCGTTGTGGCGTCCTCGTGGTCACGTGATCAAAATTCAGAGGCTTGGCAACTGACTCATATTTATGACGGCTGCAGTGTCCCCGGGGTCATGCGGTCCCCTTTTTGTGACTTTCTGGCAAGCAATGTCAATGGGGGAAGCCGGATTCACTTAACAACCCTGTTACTAAATTAACCACAGAAGCGATTCGCTTAACAAACGTCGCAAGAAAGGTCGTAAAATGGGGCAAAATTCACGGAAGCACGTGTCTCGCTGAACAACAGAGATGCTGTGCTCCTTTGTGGCTGTAAATCGGGGATTATTTAACAATGATGGAACGGTCATAACTTTGAGAGTGGGTGGTAAGTCACTTTTATCGTGTCGATTGTAACTTTAAACGGTCGTTAAATGAATGGCTGTCAGCCGAGGACTACGTGCAAAGCACAGTGCAGCTCAAGAGGACTCCGATCTGGGAATCTGAATAGAACTGGTTCCATGCTGATCATATTTTCCCCCCGGCAGGTTAGCTCTGTCTCTACCCATTGCACAAAATTGGATGTTAGATTTCTGAGATGGAAGAATGGGTCATTCCTGCAGCCTGCAGTTGATTTTTGAATCTTCCTTGACTGGGCAGATTGTGATGCTTTGTTCTTAACCATGTGTGTTTTCCCCTCTGCAATGTATGCAGGAGCACCAAACCATCCTATTTGCAGCTGTAGCTTAAGTGGCCACAGTTGCCCCTCGCACGCCGTGGCCTCCTGCCACCTTATTCTGCCGCATGTGGGCCAGCCACGGCTTTACATGATGCCTCCGTGAGAGAGGCAGTACTTCGAACGGGAAGCAGATGACGTGACCGTCCCGTGTTCCCCCGATACTGTGAAGCGATCACTGCCATACTGGCATGTCTTATCTATATGTGCCTGTGTTTTTTTTAACAGCCCATGTTTCCTTGTTGCCTCTGATGTGCTGCAGTTCTTCTTTTTTGGATATAAGTTGACTTCCCTTTTTTTCTGGGATTCTTGTACTAAATGGCTTAATTCCAACCAATTAACAAATAAAGGCAAACTGGCAAGCTTGGGTCTGTGGTCTCTCACTGTTGGCAGAGGTGAAACGGGATGAAAATTTATGTATTTATACATCATATGTAAAAAAAAACAGCCAACAGACCACTTGTTGGTTTCTCATTTAGTATTTGTATGAGTAATTCTTGGATCTCACCTCTGCTTAGGAGTTGAGCCATTTGATCTGAATGGCCTTTACAGGGGAGATTAGTTGCTGTCCTGGAGTAGGCACACCAGACAGGAAGCTAAACTATGTTGTCTTTCTAGCAAGTGCTAAGAAACTGCTGTACTAGTTACAAATTCCTTCTGTGTCCAATCATACTTGGCCAATAAGAGTCTATTCCTATTCCTAATCCTAATCCTATTCTATCCCATCTCCTCCTCCTCCTCCTCCTCCTCCTCCTCCTCTTCTTCTTCTTCTACTATTACTACTACTACTGCTTCTGCTTCTACTTCTACTTCTACTTCTTCTTCTGTGCGAGTCATGGGTCCACTAGAGACTAGATGCTTTGATGAGACTTCTCTACATAGTTGGCTACGTGATTGGTAACACCAATGAGTTTTAGCCACAGTTAAAAGTGCATATAGTCCAGGCTATGGTTTTCTCAGTTGCAATGTTTGGCTGTGAAAGTTGGATCATAAGGAAGGCTGAGCATCACAGAATTGAGGCCTTTGAACTCTGGTGCTGGAGAAGACTCCTGCGAGTCCCTTGGACTGCAAGGCGATCCAACCGGTCAGTCCTAGAGGAGATCAACCCTGACTGTTCTTTAGAAGGCCAGATCTTGAAGATGAAACTGAAATACTTTGGCCACCTAATGAGAAGGAAGGACTCACTGGAGAAGAACCTAATGCTGGGAACGATTGAGGGCAAAAGAAGAAGGGGACGGCAGAGAGTGAGGTGGCTGGATGGAGTCACTGAAGCAGTCGGCGTGAGCTTAAATGGACTTCAGAGGATGGTAGAGGACAGGAAGGCCTGGAGGAACCTTGTCACGATGGGTCGGAAACGACTTCGCAACTAACAACAACAAAAAAAGATAGGACAGATGGACAGCCATGCATGGATGAACAGAGGACAGAAAGTTGGACAGGCTGATGGATGAACAGATGGACAGACAGGACAGAAAGATGGATAAATGGACAGACTGATCTACCTTGAGCACCAGCCTGACCTCTCCTTGCCAATCCATTCCAATCTGTTGGGACTGGGATTGGGACTATTCCCAGTACAGTATTGGGAATTATCTAGCATATGAAAAATGCTCCATGTCTGAATAATTTTCTAGGTCAATGCAGGGTGAGTTTTTATGCCATTTAAACCTTTGTAAATCCCACTGGCTTAGTTATATACGTAGAGAGAGGGGTGGAGAAGGAGAAAGAGAGAGAGAGAGAGGGAGATTATAGGGTTTTGCTTTTTATCATTGCGATCCTATTTTTAGAAACCCAAATTGAATTGTCAGATCGAGTTGATTTGAATTCCTGGGGCATTCTCGGTGAATACACACAGCTTGGACACAGATCAAGTTCCTTACAGAATTTCACAAAGAAATTTTTTTAAAAGAAAAATCTCACACCTACCAGATAACATTTACTATACATTTTTTTTTTAAAAAAAAGGCTTTATTAAAGTAGTTGAGATGATTTTTCCAGAGATGCCCAATAAACCTCTATACCCAAAGCAATCTTAGGGGAGTAGCCATGACTTGGAGAACATGTTATAGTATAGAGGGAATCCATAGAGGGAGATTTTTTTTCTCACTCCTCAAGGAAGGGCTCCATCCCTTTGCTCATCATCTTCCTCTTCTTAGGAAAAATTCCACTTACTTGGCTGGAATTGTTCACATTGTGGTGTAATGGTATATAGCCAGAAGAACGATAGGACACTGGGGAAAAAAACACACAATAATACTCTTTTATTCCAAGCCCCTATTTAATTTTTTGTAATGGTGTGGTTCCCTTTTCTGATCCTGAGTAAAGGTAAAGATTTCCCTTGCACATATGTGCTAGTCGTTCCCAACTCTAGCGGGTGGTGCTCGTCTCCATTTCAAAGCCAAAGAGGCAGCGGTGTCCGAAGACGTCCCTGTGGTCATGTGGCTGGCATGAATAAACACCAAAGGCGCACGGAATGCTGTTACCTTCCCACCAAAGGTGGTCCTTATTTTTCTACTTGCATTTATTACGTGCTTTCGAACTTCTAGGTTGGCAGAAGCTGGGACAAGTAACGGGAGCTCACCCCGTTAGGCGGCACTAGGGATTCGAACTGCTGATCGACAAGCTCAGCGTCTTAGCCATTGATCCACCACATCCCCTTCTGAGTACCTCAAGCGAAATTATCTGTCCCATCCCACCACCACCTCTTCTTTGATTTTATCCTCACACACTCATGCAGCATAAGGACTGGAAGGAACCTTAGAGCTCAACCGATCCAATCCCTTGCCAAGGGTAAGCAACCACAACCTAAATTAAAGTTGGTTTTGAAATGGAAAACACACCAATTTAGGAAAGACTTCTAAAAGAATTGCTTATTTGATGGCCTATGAATGAATTAAGATTATATTCTATGAATTTGTAGGCACACTGAAGAATTGTAGGCCAAATATATCTAAGGAATACTAGGTTGAGAAAGCTTGGCTCGAAGGCACGTCAACTAGATGTTGTCTAACAAGCAGAAATATGCACTACATATCATCAGACCTACTGATGATGCTACTGAGTTGAGTAATGAAATGTCTGCAAACAAACGACCAAGCTCAGAGAGCACCAAGGACTCCACTGTTCAATCCCCAAACTACATATATTGTCTTCTATTGAAGTTCTTGAAGAGTAGCACCAGGAGGGGACTATTGTCCTCTAGCCCTGCTGATGAGTTTCCTATGAACACTTGGTTGGTCCTTGTGGAAACTGGGATACTGAAGATGTTTTTGAGGACAGATAAGAGTGGAGTACATTCAGGATAAACTTCACGGATAAGCAGAACTTCAGAAAGATGGTCTCTCAATTTTCAAGCGACAACCTTTCCTCAATCTCTTGAGTTCTTAAGCCATCACTCCTATAGTTCCCACCAGAAAATTTTGGAATTGCAGCCCCAACACATCAAAACAAGCCTTTCTGCTATGACTTACTGTGAACATAAGAATGGCAAAGCCAAACCAGGAGACGCCCCAGGCGTAGCTCTGTACTGCGTGCTTAATGTGTTCAAAGCAGCCCTGAGAAGGGAAGAACAAAGCAGTGAGATTGTCTTGAAGAGAGGAGCTGCCGACGGTACCAATATCCCCAAGAAGGCCCAAAACGGCAGGTAAACATCAGGACAAAGATGGAAGTCTTTGGTACCTGAGTGTTGATGTAATCAATGTGCCCCAATCTGCAGCCCTCCTCATTGACGATGATAAAGTTTCGATCACGTTTGCAGCAGTAGAATGGCCAAGGTGCCACTGCTTCAGAGTATCGACTTCGGAATACAGAGGTATAGTTTACCCAGTCCAAGGGGTCATTGGCACCGCAGCACTGTTGCTAAAAGTGAACAGGTGAAAAGAAAGATCATATACAGTATTTATTTATTTATTTATTTATTTTTAAATTTGATTTATATGCCGCCCTTCTCCGGAGACTCAGGGCAGCTTACAATGCGTTAAGCAATAGCCTTCATACTTTTGTATATTTTATACAAAGTCAGCTTATTGCCCCCACAAACTGGGTCCTCATTTCACCTACCTTAGAAAGGATGGAAGGCTGAGTCAACCTTGAGCCTTGGAGAGATTCGAACTAGCAGTAATTGCAGGCAGCTGTGTTAATAACAGGGTGCTTATTGCGAAGAGCCACATTATAAAGCAGGGGTCACCAACCTTACGGACCTCAGGGACCACTAAATTCATAATTTTAAATCCCGTGGACCACTAATATGGTCTGCTTAATGACCGGCTGGGTGGGCGTGGCTGGTGGGCATGTGACTGGGTGGGCATGGCCAACTTGATGTCACTTGCATCAAGGGCCTCTACTCACCCCTCCCCTTCTAGCCACTCCTTGCCTGCCTGCCCGGACTCCTTAGGGCCCCGACAGGAAGCAGTTGTTGGAGCTAAACAGCCACCAAGAGAAAGAGTTGGCAAAACAGCTGGCTCAGTTCAAATTGGATCTGACCGAGAAGGAGGCTCAGCAGAAGCACTTCACTGAGGACTACGAGCATAGGCTTTCCAAGCAGAGGGAAGACCTGCGGGAGTGCAAGACCAGGTGCTGATGCCTGGGGACTCAGCGGACTCAGATGGTCAGCTAGTTCCAGGCCATGATGCAGTCCCACTGGAACGAGGCCCTCCGGCTCTTCGCCATCAGCGGTGCTTCCCTCCAGTCTTTGCCCAAAGCCCCACACCAGGAGGCTGAAGCAGATCTCAAGTTAGAATTTCTGCCCCCCTCTGACCCACACTAAAAGACCCTGAAGGGGGAGTCTCTCTGCAGTAACACAAGCGTTCGTTGCATGTATCCAGCTCAGGGGCCGTAGTTTGAGGATCCTTGATTTAGTGCAATATAAAAAATGCAAATAATTTTTCTGTGGACCACCAACATTTTCTCATGGACCACCAGTTGGTGACCACTGTTATAAAGGATATTTTGCTGCCTTTTGGGGTACTTTCTCTTGACTAGACTTTCTGCCACCCAACTCTTCCATTAGAAAGTTAAGACTGATTTGAGTTGTTTCGAATTTCACAGCTTTGAAGCTTATCATTATTTTTTTGCAAAGAACTGATAGCTGATGAGAACTATTTTTCCCCCCTGGCTGGTAGTTGAGCATAGCTACTGCTCCATACCTAATGTTGCCTTTTGGTTTCACTCCAATCCTTCCCCTATCTTCAAAGTTCCCAATCACTAAATGTCTATGGAGATTCTCAGTCATCCAGGTCATGGTTGTCCCAAAGGTGCTTTTTCAAGAGGCGACTGAACTTTCTGGTTTTTCTTTTGAGACATTTCGCTTCTCATCCAAGAAGCTTCTTCGGCTCTGAAGAAGCTCCTTGGATGAGAAGTGAAACGTCT